CTAAGACCCCTTGTGTTTCGATTCCTGGCTCCGCCACTGGTAACAAGAGGTGTATATTTAATATATATCTCCTTATACACCATTCTATTGTGAATGCTTTGAGATTGAGAGAAAAGATGAATAAGAGAAGTGAAGACAAAATCTTAAAATGTGATGGCTTTATCTTCAATCGACATGCAGGTCCCTTCAATCGACATGCAGGTAATGATGCACATCTTGTGCTGGGATCCACTAGTCTCTATCACAGTTGTATTTGGGGGATATTGGGAGCTTGCCATTTGGGGAGCTCGCCATTTCTTTGGGTAGGTGTTTACACTCGAGGTTAAGATATTTTGGATATTTAAATAGTTATCATAATTTTTTGTTTTATACAAGTGGTATTGAGAGAGGGTGATTTGACCACATGACCTTAAATGTAAGGATAAGTACTCTTAATCATTTGAGCTTCAAATCTCTAACAATATCATAATTTTTGTTGTAATTAACTTGATATTGTTCACGGTAAATTGGGTCAATTTTAAACATGTTTTATTATATTGTCACAAAGATTAACACACTTAGGATCTATGATTTGAAAGAGATTAAATAAATTAGAGGGAAAGTGGAAATGAGTAATGGATTATGATTTAGAAGTAAGAAGCGTGTGATTTCAGAATAAAATACGATAAGAGGCAGATAGACAATTTGAGTTTCGCAATTGGAGATGTAGGATTTGAAAGAGATGGGACAGAGGAGAGAGAGTTTTCAAGTTATGCCATGTTTTCAAAATTGTAATTAAGTCATCATATCATAGAAAGTTGCTTTTTGAAGAGTAAAAATCTAGTGGTCTTGGTACTTTTGAAAACCCAATCCAATCTCTACATGTCTGAATTCACGCAAAATTCTATAGTGAGGATATCATATGTGGACCCTTCAAATGAATCATGTGGCTAATATAAATATCTATATCTATAATCTATATATGACACCCTCATTATAAAACGACTCGTAAAGTCATATACAGTGATATGAAACCAACCCCAATCTTGACCGTCCACGAATATCGGGCTCAAGTGGACAGACAAACACTAGTTCCATAATCTATAGAACATTTATAAAGAAGCAAACTTTGAGCTTCATGCACACATGAAATGCTTAAAATATCTTCGGCCTTTATATGATTACATAAAAGTCATTATTATGTATTTTGAAATTCTTCCTTTTTGGCTGAATTAAATTGGAAGTCATTGTCAACAGCAGAAAACCCAATTGAATAAACAAATTACAAATCAAAATCTTCACACAGTAACCATATATTGCCTGTCTACCCACATAGTCAACACAGTAGTTCTTCAATTGCACGTAATGATTTTCCCATTTTGCCCCGAATGCCCACTTTTAGGTTACAAGACAAATTCAAAACATATGGCCAGTAATGTCAGATACACATATCTCATTTCTTATAGCGCGTGGTAGTCCGTGATTGGCAGGGACAGTAATTATGGCAATTTCTTACAGCGCGTGGTAGTCTGTGATTGACGGAGAACACCCAACAGTGCTATCTCTGTTTCACATAAGTTTTTCTGCAATTTTTACTCTCGAAACAACCAAAACCTCCATTATAAAATATCACCCACATCTCACTCAACCCCCAGTCAAAACTCCAACTTTAAGTATCAGAACGGCACCAACAGCAGAAAGCAGAAAGCAGAGGAAGAAGAAGAAGCAAATCTTCCAAGAAAAACAACCCAGAAAAGGAAAAAAGAAACCAAGATCATGAGGTTCAGCAACCACTTGATTGGGCTACTAAATTTCGCTACTTTCCTCCTCTCAATCCCGATCATTGGAGGGGGCATATGGCTGAGCAGCAGAGCCAACAACACAGACTGCCTCAAGTTCCTCCAATGGCCGCTCATCCTCATCGGGGTCTCGATCATGGTGGTTTCCCTAGCTGGGTTTGCAGGAGCCTGCTACAGGAACACTTTCCTCATGTGGTTTTACCTGTTCGTCATGTTCTTCATCATAGCAGCTCTGATTGGCTTCATCATCTTCGCATATGCTGTCACAGACAAAGGATCAGGCAGGCCTGTGACGAACAGGGCATATCTGGAATATTATCTAGGGGACTATTCCGGCTGGCTGGAGGAGCATGTAGCTAAGGACAGCAACTGGAGAAAGATTGCCTCTTGTGTTAGAGACTCCAAGGTTTGCCAGAAGATGGGGACGAGTGTGAACGGTGTGCCCCAGACTGCTGACATGTTTTACAACAAAAAGCTCAGCTCTGTTCAGGTATTTACTTAAATTTGTTTCATTTTATTTACAGCCATGGATATATATTTTTTCTTTTTGAACAATAAGGAAAAAAAAAAAGAAGCTTGAAAAGAAGAATTGGGTTTCATTAGGAATTTTATTTTGGGTTGTGTTCATATAGCGCAACTTAATCTGATCACTTTAGTGCTTGGGTTTTGAATTAGGAATTTTTTGTTATGTTCTGATTTTTGTGGTTTAGATTTTAGAGGGCCCGGAAAGAACCCGGCATCCAAGTTTACCCAATTTTCGTGAATTAGAGTAGTTTAGAACATCGCTATTAAAAAAAAGTGGAAGAAGATTAATTTTTGATTTAGTGGTAGATCCAGTTTAAGATTTGTTAGATGTTTCAGATTTGCTTAGGAAGGTTATGGCACATGGGTACAGGCAATATGACAAGCATGGGTGGGGTTTGAGGTAGGAGCCCCCCTTAATATGTGGTTCTTGCACCAATGGAAAATTGCCTCTTGCTGGCCCTCTTTTCTTTTAAGGTTTTATTTATGTTTTCTTGATAATGACGGAAAACCCCACCAACATAGAACCAAAGTACTCCTACTTGTACACTGTCCTTATCTAATTATGTGATTTCTGATTTTATAAAAATAAAATAAAATTGTCATATTCACAAAAGAATTGTACTTAGAACACAAATTTTGCTGCACTTCATATCTCAAGTGCTGTCTTTTCTTTTTCTTTTTTTCTTTTTTCACCAAAAAAAAAAAAAAAAAACCATTGTGGTTGTAAAGGGCACTGATGTAATGGCACAGTGGACCACAAGAGGCGGTGACCTAAATCGAGAAAGAGCTGTTTTTTTTATTTTTTGGAACGAAGAGAAAGAGATAACCTAATTACAATAGTTTTTTTTATCTTTAGATTAATTTGTTTGCTCAATTAAGAGACGTAATCCCTTGGTAGACACTCATGACTTTAACTCTTTACCTTTTCCTATTTTCTCCCAATATTTTCTTGATTTGTCATCAATATTCATGTTAACGGTCATCACATCACCCTTTACAATTAGTTAGCCTTAGGTTGCCTGTCTTTAGATCAAAATCTAATGCTAGGGAGATCAACTTTAGATACCAACTTGTGTACCATCTCTCTAATAGACTCCACCTCTATAAGAGAGATGGTACATAAATTGGTATCTAAAGTTGGTCAGAATGTTGTCTTTTGGGAGCATTGGATTGGATGGTGGCCTTTTCTGCTTTATCGTAACAGAATTTCTTTTAGGTGGTATATCCCTTTCACATTTTTGTCTGCTTTCCCTGTTAGAGATAGGAAGTAATAATCATTACAGGCTTGGAACAAACTTGGAATTCTCGCCCAAATATTTTTTGGGTTCATTTTCTGTGTATTTTTCTTTGTCGACAAGTCTCCATTATTGCTGTAAAGAACAAAAATCCAAATTATAGGTGCAAAGAATTCAGTTTTCCAGATATTGATGCATGGCCTAACTCATGTTCCATACTTTCTTCACATGTTGGACCATCCATTTTAAAATCACTTGGGAAAGAAGGAACAATTTTTCTATGAATAAATAAGTACAACTTTTGACTCTTTATTGTATATTATTCACCAAAAATAATATAGTTCCACAAAACAATATTCGCACTAGTAATTTCATGCTTTGATAGGTCATATATGTAACTCAAAGGTGGTGTAATATTATTATTATTTTTTTGTGTGGCCGAAGTTAGGAAGAGGGAGGGGTAATTTCTTTCACACATACTACCAAGGTGTCATGAGAGTTCGAACTTGAGACCACTAGTCTGCAAATTAATACCCTTTTTCACTGAGTTAAACCTGTTGCCAAGGTGGTGTAATTAATCAATAGGGTTAACTAAGTTACAAATTCTTTTGTTTTCAACATTTCAAGCTTTTGGTCAGCATTTTCTTGTTTCTTTTCTTATATAATTCATGCTTATCCTTTGTTGCTCCAAAAGCTAGGGTATCATTTATGCTTACCAGATAGCATTTATATCAGGAAGCAGGTTCTGCAATTTCTATAGATTGATAGAACTGAGGGAAAAGGGGGGCCTTAACTTGCCCACAAAGGGCAGTGTATTTGTATTGATATGATGACTAAAATACCAATGTTGTTTTCCCATTTGGTCCACAGTCTGGCTGCTGCAAGCCCCCTACAGAATGTGGCTATACTTATGTGAATGAGACGACTTGGGAAACTGGAGGAGGTGTAACGGGAACCAATCCTGACTGCACACTCTGGAACAACGACCAACGGCAACTATGCTATTCCTGTAACTCTTGCAAAGCTGGTGTTCTGGCCAGCCTTAAGAAGAGCTGGAGGAAGGTCTCTGTGATCAACATTATTGTATTAATCATCCTAGTTATCTTCTATGTGATTGGCTGTGCAGCATTCCGAAACAATCGTCGGATTGACAACGATGAACCCTATGGGGAGGCTCGGATGACAAAATCACAACCTAGTGCTTTCCAACTCTAGTTATAATGGTAGAGAATCTGATACTGGAAACGAAACTCTCTGAAAAATGTATCTTAAAGGTTTCGGGATTGTACTAGGGCTTATTTGTATTAGACAAGTGAACATCATGACTTTGGCTTGATTTTTCATAAGTTGGCTGTATATGTGAATTATCGGCACTTTATTTTCTCTGTATTAATCATCTATCTACTCTAGAGAAAAACAAAAGATGTCATTTGCAACAAGACAATAGATTTCACGTTGAAAATGCAGAAAATCAACTCTAGATTAAAAATTCCCTAGATATGAAACAGAGTCATTTATCCTGCAACATGCTCATGGAATTTGTAAAATGAGAAATAGGATTCTATACTATAACTGAGCTAGTTCCGCTTTCAACTATTGTGATACTTGTGATTCAACATCAACTGATGTATCATCCTCGCGGCCTTGTTCTGGAACCCATCTTGAAACCGTGCGCTCGTCAACCGTATAGTTCTCCAAACATGATGGGGAGGCAGCATCATGACCATTTTTACTAATACTAAGAACTAGCAATGTCTTTACAACACCTAAACAAAGCCTCAAGGTGCCATGAATATCAGACCACACCCTCAATCGCCCATTTGCTTCACCATCTCCTTCTGATGACACAAGCACAGCATAATCAGAATGGACCAAATTCGGATGGTGACGGTAGGCAACAAAGTCTGCACCATATTTAAATCCGGGCCTTACAACCCAATTTTTCAGTCGAAGATGAGAATAAGCCTTGTAAAAATCAGGGAATGCTGCTTTTTTGGATTTCATGTACTGCCAGAGCTCTTGAACATCCTTTGGGCGTTTATCTTCACCCACTATCTTCAGGCATTTGAGAGAATAGCATAGGAAAAATGCCTCTTCCATATCCAACTGAAACCACTGCTTATCCTTCTCGGCGTTAATAACACGGTCGCCAAAGTAGGCACGGCCAAGGAGATGAGCTTGTTCGTCTTCTGCAGCAAGGAGTACACTACACCCACACAAGATTCCTCGAGCATCTGATTGGATTAGAGAAGACTGAAGCTGCAATACTATCTTTGACATGGGATCTGCAAGAGCTTTAGCTTCTGCGTCTTTCGCTTTCCATTTACGCGCCATTTAATCCTACAACAAGATCAAACACTTAGAAATTAGAACATACAACAGAAACTACTGTAACAAAAGAAACCCACCTTTTGTTTTCCTCAAGTCATATATGTTTTAGGAAATATTGAAGACCTCTAGAGGATATCCAGAATCAATTTACAAGTAATGCTCAATGCACCAAACAATCACCCTAAATATCAACCTACAAAATAAGGATGCTGTGTTCTTAATTGAACCAAATATTATTGAAAAAAAAAAAACATAAAGAAAAAGAAACAGAGACAGAGACTTAGAAGAAGTGACAGTTTTTAGAATAGTGTTTCACCCTCGGCACAAAGAAGGAAAAAAAAAATTCTGATAGAGTTTGGAATATTTATTAGATCTTCTATGCAATCAGAGTTTTTCACTAATATATTTTCTGGTTGTATCTTTTCAAGCCACCAAGCCCCAAAATTATAAGCCAACAACAACAGGAAATTAGGCATTTATGTAAAATCAGAAATTAGACATTAACTGAATCCCTAAACCCCTAATTTCTGAATAAGGAAATTAGAATGTAGAAATAGAATGAGAAGTTAAATACCAAGAAAAAGAAGAGTAGAAGAAGAACCGTTTGTGCAGCTGTGGCGCTATGGAGCGCCTGCAAGCCTGCAAGGTAGACGGAGGACTGACTGAGGTGGATGATGGAACCGTTTTAAACGCAGCCGTTTTGCCGCTTTGGCCTTCCCAAAGTTACGGAGAGAGATTTTGCAACAGAGATAAAGAAGGAGTTCAATTCTCCTGTTACCATTTTCCCTTTCTTTCTCTCTCTCCCCCTCTCCCACTTGATTCTCAATCCAGGCCTATCTCCTTTCCCTGCTCTTCTAGCTTCTTCTTTGAAAGAGAGAGGGAGATCGAGCGTGAAGCAGAGAAATCAAGGGAGATAGAAGTTTGGGGACAGAGGTAGAAAAAAGCAGATAGAGAGAAAGAGAAAGAGAAAGAGAAAAGTAGGCTTTGCCGGCGGCGAGAAGGAGAGGGGGTTGCCGGTGGCTGACGAGATTAGGTGGGTAGGAGTTTTGGTGGCCGGCGGATTTGGGGTTGCTGTGGGAGTTCGCTGTTGGTCTATTTTTCTTCTTCAATTATTAGTTTTATTTATTAAACATTAGAATATTTTAACAGTATCGCCGAGCGGCTATACTCTATAAATAGAATATTTTAACGGTACAGCCGAACGGCTATACTCTAATATTTTAACAATATAGCCTCTCGGCTAAGGTATAGCCGAACGGCTATACTATTTAAATAGAATATTTTAAACCAGGCTATATGCTATAAATAGTTTGAAACGTATAGCCGCGCGGCTATACCTTTTAAATACCGTACTCTAATTTCATTTTTTAATTACATTAATGAGTAAATATGTTTTAATTATTATTTAATTAGTGAATAATATTTAAATATTTAATTAAAGAACAAAAATTTTAAAAAAGTTACTATATATTAAGTAATATAATTTATGAAGTTAATTAAAATAATTAATACTAATTTGAATATAAAAAAGGAGATCATTATTAAGGTCCACCTCTATGCACCTCCATGAACTTGCCCCCAATTTGAATATCTTCAACACAAAATGTTACCCCTCAAGGCATCAGGGGTGAGCTTTTGCACTTGGAGAACCTTATACTCATTTGTAAAAGGGCTGAACCCAAAATGGTGTGTAACATTGGCAGTGTGTGATGCAAGTGAAGCATGGGGAAGAGTGATAGACTCTCGCGTGGAGGGGTTAAATACGGGAATGGGGTGTTCAGGATCGGTTTGATTGGGAACTGAGGTGTTATGAAGGTAAAGACAGACCAAGCCATTGATGCTTTGCGCATGGTAGAGATGTTCATTCTTGGTTCGCGGCGTTGGAAGGCTTAGAAGATGGACGGACTTCCTTGTCGGTTGATTTCCAAGGAGAAGAAGTGCTGCTGCGTTGTGGGTTTGTCCCAGGCAGTGAGGAGGAGGTCATGAGTGTTCTTTTTGCATCCCAAGTTTTGATGGGCGCTGACAAAGGAAGGGTCGCGGGTGAGAGAAGACCAAGACTTGCATGCACATCTGAAGCGCATGAGAGACTTGGACGGCAGCCTTGGGAGAATCTCAAAGCATGTAATTTGGCTGGGGAGCTCTGGACCTGCAGCTGGCTCCATGTATTGATCTTTGTGCCATTTTGGGATATTATCCTTCCTTACAAGTCTAACAGTTGATAGTTTTGTATGGGCAGATGATTGATCGGAAATCTAAAGTTCATAGTTTGTATCAGAGGGAAGCCAAGAGTAAGACAGATTGAAGTGAAGGGGTCTTTAAAGAGATGACAAGTTCCAAGTTGGTATTGAATTCCAAGTGCATCCATTCTTGTTCTTGGTCAGCAGATCGGGTATTCTTAAGTATAATATGAACACATTATGATGCAAACCAACATCATACATATATTAGTGGGTCCACCTCTATTAGAGAGGTGAAGAACAATATGATCGATAAATCTGATACAAATAATATTATTGTTAGTAAAACTTGTTTGTAACGTGAATAACAGAAGGACTAGCTTAGCATGAACATCGCGATTCACATGTCATGCAACCATAGGCCATCATCATAGCAAATGGAGCACTACTACATGTTGTCACCAGAAGAAATGCTTAGAGTTCCATTTCAAAATTTCAAGAATTGAAGACTCTCCCTCACCTATAAGAGGAGACCACTTCCCCACTTCGCAATGATCTCTTTCATCATAGATATTATGTTTGAATCAATCTCTTCTACTGTGTAAGGGTGAACCACATATATATCCTCAGAGTGTTTGTACTTACCAAATCATGATATATCCCAATTTAATTAGGTATGTTAACCAATAGTTCAGAATTATACATGTTAGGTACATATACAATAATATGCCCTCACTAAATAGAGTTGAACAATCGATGACTTTAAAACATTAAATGAATTGCCGATATCATCATCAAAATTCATGAATATATTGATGACCTGACTGACCTTGTATTGGTTGAAGAGCAAAAACCCATTATATGTACCCTGATTTTCTTGAATGATACGAGACAGTTGACATAATTTTTTTCAGTAGACAAGCACCCCACATTTAAAATACGCAACAACGCAAATTGTCTTTGTGTACTACTTTTGGTTGGGAGCTATAATGATCTAGTTTGTTGCTGCGCACATTGGCTCAATCAACGTGACATCTGCAATCTCTACACCAAGCAGTGGGTGTGCTCCGCCTCCCACCACTCGATGTCACAATAACATATGAGCTGAATTCATATGCAGTTCTAAGGAAGATGATGGCATTGGCGATGGAAAAGAAGAATACTACAAGTACAAGATTATGCAAATAATGATTCATGAGAGTCCAAGGGATAATTCCTTTCAATTCAACTTGCATATGTTATGTTATGAGAGTGGTAAATGAACAGAGACTGTTGAATCAAGCCCACGAAGCTTTAGTGTGAATCATTTGTGTTCCGATGCCAGTGTTCCTCACAATGGTATGTTGTATTGGTGTGAACGTGCTTTTATTATTAGCTTGAATCCCTACTCCAACGATAATATGTAGAGTTAGGTCAAAATTGATTTTCTAGGTGTGTGCCAATTGTACCTCAATCTAGTTGTGGATGGTCGAACCTATCTGAGAGTTCACAAAGATGATGATCATGTTGATGGTGAATGGTGTTTGGTACCCAGAGTTTACATCGACCAAATGGCTTTGAAAGTTCCGTTGATCGCTAAATGAAAACATCAAAGCTACTTGAAAATCACTCTTTAAGGTGCAAGGATTCAATTCAAATAACGAGGACGTCTTGTGTCTAGAATTGCATCAACAACTAGTCATGTGCAACATTCATACTAGATTCGTAGTAGCATATCAAAACCGCAACTTATTTGAAAAAATTAGTTTCCTCCAATATTTCATATGTTTTTCTTGCAATTATGTTGGGATAACAATAACCTTTATAGCAAAAAAGAGCAACCTTGGAAGCATTATGACCAAAAACCTATGTTTACGAATTGAGCGACATGTGCACAAGCACATTAGTCCTAATTCTAATAACTTGTGAATAGTCATGCCTCTCACACTCACTCACACAAAAACTCCCCACACCAACGCCCTTATCATCCTTATCACATTTTCTACACTAAAAAATTGTTCTTGTAGTTGATCATTTAAAATGAATCACCAGTTTCTTATATGATCTTATCACCAGTTTCATATTACAATGCGGCCCTTCTGGTCTACACACCAAAAATAACAGATTTTTAGCAATAAGTTCATTTTAGCACGACATATTAAACTTTTTTTTGGTAAATACCACGAGGTGTCCCCACACCAGAAGGGTGATATTACTCCCCGCTGGGGTTCGGCTTGCCCCTGGCCACAAAGTGTTTCCAACGGGTTTCGAACCCCTGCCATTGAGGCACCAGGTAGCTCGCTAGCTGAAGATGGTAGTTTGCTAACCGTACCACACCTTGTGGTTCGACATATTAAACTTTAATTATACATGTTTTAGGAAATATTGAAGGACCTCTATGGTGAACATCCAGAATCAATTTACAAGTAATGCCCAATGCACCCAACAATCAACTAATCACCCCCAAAAATCAACCTATTTCTGCTGTTAGAAATTAGAATTGGGATGTTGTGTTCCTAACTGAATTCATGCTATAATACTTACCAATTTACCAAATATTATATATATATATATAAAACTAAAACAGAGACTGAGATAGAGGCAGACTAGCTCTTAGAACAGAGGTGATTATATTTAGAATAGTATTTGCCCCTCAGCACAAAGAAAAATCTGATAGAAGTTAGATATATATATTTTTAATTATTACAGAAATTATAGATATTCTACGCAATCATTCATGGTGGTCGTGTTGTATCTCTTCATCGTAGTCACCTGAGTTGAGTTACAATTTGTAAGGTGCCACCAAGCCCACAAAATTATAAGCTAACAACAATAGGAAATTAGGCATTTATGTAAAATTAACCCTCAATTACAACACTCTTATGAAAAACATGCTAACACATGCCATTTCAAGTTTTATCTATTAATTTTACGGTGTTTACGATTTCGACTTGATTACAAACCAAACTAAATTATGAAGGCCAAAATTTTCAGAAAGTGAAATTAGAAGAATCATGGTGAATAATAAGTCGACCTATAGTCCAAACCAAAATATGGTGGATCCTACAATGTATGTCAAATTTCTCCAAAATAAGTTCATAGTTTTTATCAGGAGGAAGCCAAGAGGTACAGGACAGATTGAAGGGGTCTTCAAAGAATTGACAAGTTCTAACTTTGAGTTCATTGCTATATATGCTGAGCTGACTATGCAGCTAAGCTGCTTTGGTTTACTCGCTTGAAAAAAATGAGAGAACCCAAGAAGTTAAAAAAGGAGGGCCAACCAAACAAATATTAGACTCATAACTACAAATTGACAGATACAGGTGCAAGGCAAATTGCTCCACATTAGGAGGGGGGAGGGGGGAATATTTTTTGTGTTATTGGCTAGTCGGCTAGTTGTATTTCTCTTCCCTTTGTTAGAAGATGTTCTATGTTTAGGATTTAGGGTTTAGGGCCCAAAAAAATTAAATATAAACGAAAATAAATATCTAATCAAATTGGAACATTGACAAAATAAAATAAGGAGTTTCACTAAAACACCCAAAATGGGGGTTGAAATTATAAAAAAACCCAAACACTATTTAAACATATAAACACACCCAAAATTCATCATTACACACACTCAAAACCCATTTATAAACACACCCAAAAAGTTGACTTTGAGGTTGATTTTGGGTGTGTTTCTATGTTTAAATAATGCTTGAGTTTTTTTATAAATACATGTCTAGGATTGGGTTTATTTATAAATTTGTAAATAAAATACAATATATATTAAGTGTTTCGCTTCAAATAATATTGGGGTTTTTTTGTGTGATAAAACTCACCTATTGGACTTTGTAGGTAGGTGGTTAAGTTGAGAACAATATCAATATTTGGTGGTTTGCTGATCATTCTCTCTGAAATCTTAACAAAAAAACACCTAAAAAACAAGTTGCAGTTGTTTTCCCTTGTGACCAATTGAACTGAAGCTTGATGATGAAATACGCCATATCTCATCTTAAGAACACAACGCTATCCTCTAGTTACTGAAGCTTGATGATGACATAGGCCATATCTCATCTTAAGGGCACAATGCTATCCTTATAACTAGCCAGCAACTTCAATCGATCATCGTTCAGAGTCGATGCATATTCGGGGGGCAAAACAATCTCATCACTTCCCCTAAAACTTGCACTCTCCATATTGTATAGAAGCACCCTCGGATGACCAGGCTTCTGTATGCTTAACCTTGAAGATTGGAGGAGGAGCTCACCTGTGTGAATGGCACAAAAAGGAACTGGGTACCCTGCTTCCTCCCAATGAAGGGGAAAATAGATGGTCTCCTTCACCCAAACCTGATTTTGATAGTCCTCCAAAACCCAAAGCCTTAAAATGTTCAGTCTCATCAACTCCTTGTCACCTGTTAGAGCCACACATCCATCCACTTCAACTATACTCTCAATGGGAAAATCAATACGATGTGTAAAACAATTATAATCTTTAGGAAGTGGAATTGCTCTGAATTTCTCATCTCCAATGCCAAAAGCCAGTATGACATTGTTAATCCCATGAATCCAATGTACAGCCCCGTTGACGCAAACACTTCGCTTATGAAATGGGGATGTAAAAGGATTAATACGGAGACCATTACAGTCTACCTCTATGTGCCTCCATGAACTTGTCCCCAATTTAAATATTTTGAACATAAAATGCTCACCCCTCAAGGCAGGGATGAGTTCTTGCACTTGGAGAACCTTATACTCATTTGTAAGAGGACTGAACCCGAAATGATACGTAACATAGACTTTGCGTGATGCAGGAGCGCGGGAGAGAGCGATAGACTCTCCGGTGTAGGGGTTAAAAATGCGAACGGCTTTGCATGATGCAGGCTGCAAGGCTTGGGGGAGAGCGATAGACTCTCAGGTGGAGGGGTTAAAAATGCGAACGGGGTGGTCAGGATCGGCTTGATTGGGAACTGTAGTATTATAAAGGCAAAGACAGACCAAGCCGTTGATAATTTGTGCATTGTAGAGACATTCATTCGTGGTTTGCGGAGTTGGAAGACTTAGAAGATGGGTGGCAGGGATTAGACTTCCTTCTTGGTTGATTTGCAAGGAGAAGAAGTGTTGCTGCGTTGTGGGTTTGTCCCAGGCAGTGAGGAGGAGGTGAACGTTCTTGTTGCATCCCAAGTTTTGATGGGCGCTGACAAAGGAAGGGTCGCGGGTGAGAGAAGACCAAGACTTGCAGACACATTTGAAGCGCATGAGAGACTTGGAGGGTAGCCTTGGGAGAATCATAAAGCATGTTATTTGGCTGGGGAGCTCTGGACCTCCAACTGGGTCCATGTATTGATCTCTATGCCCCTTTGTTAGGATATCCTTCCTTGCAAGTTTTGTAGGGGCAGATGGTGGATGGGAAATCCAAAGTTTAGTTTTTATCAGAAGGAAGCCAGGAGCTTCAAGACGGATTGAAGTGAAAGGTTCTTTGAAAACATGACAAGTTCCAAGTTGGTGTTGAATTCCATGTATACATCTATATTAATTGAAGAATATTAATATTACAAATTTAATGATTCCCATAATTATATATTTCATATTACTTGGGACAAAAACAAAAATTATTGTTTACATACGACAATGTTTCAAGTAAACAATTCAACATAATATGAGTCCGAATTGCCTTTATAATAGGAGTATTGCTACATCAGATTTGTTAATCATGGGAGAGATAAAAACTATAGGGAAATTTGCATAAATCCTACCTGAATTTTTAGACATGTGCACCGTTACCACCTGAACTTTTAATTTTTATTATTAACCACTTGAACTTTAGAGAGTGTTGCAATGTACAACCTATGTCTAACTCTGTTAAACTTTTCGTTAACTTTAAAAACGATTCCGTCAATTCACTATAACTAAAAAAACTTAACATTTTTAAAACTAACAGAATTTATAATTAATAATTTTTGTTCTTTATTAAAAACCTAACCTAAATTATCCCATGGTTTCTCCCATCCATTCAACAACTTTCCCCCTTTCCCATTAGACCCCTCCCCCACCCTCTACATATATCCAGGCTTTTGGGGAGATGGATTTCATGGATCTTCAAACATTTAAATTAATTTGGCATTCAATTATGTTCTTTTTTTAATTATTCATAAGGTGAAATTTCGTTCAAAAGTCAAAACGGAAATACACGAAAAAACCATACAAGAAAGGGCAATAGCATACAGAGAAGTACAACAAGCAAGCCTCCCAGTAAATCAAGCCACCACGAGCATAAAGCGACAACATAATACCTCCCAAAAAAAAAGCTTAATCAGTAGAGGCAAGGAATCCCATCTCTAAACATTACCATGACTAATGAGAGAAGGGGCTGATTAATCCGTATGAGTAATGCACCTTCGAGTTGGCCTTCAACTCTTCAACAACCCACACCAAATATTTTATAGATTCGGTGGAGAGAGATAGGGATATGAAGTAGGGTGTATGCAGAGAGGGTGGGGAGGCAGCTAGGCAATGGGGAAGAATTTGTGTTGGAAGGGGTGGGGAACGATAATTAGGTTAGGTTTATTATTTTATTATTTAAATTTGTTAGTTTTAAAATGTCAAGTCTTTTAGTTATAGTGAATTGATGGAATTGTCCTTAAACTTAACGGAAAGTTTAATAGAGTTGGATATAGGTGGTACATTGCAACACTCTATAAAATTCAGGTGGTTAATAATAAAAATTAAAAGTTTAGGTGGTAATAGTGCACATGCCTAAAAGTTCAGGTGGTATTTATGCAAATTTCCCAAACCTATATAAACGAGAGTTACATAAGTTTTATTTTTGTGTTATTTACAATGACCAAGAAGAAAGTTTTTTTTTTGGGCAAAGACCAAGAAGAAAGCGCCTCGCATATAAAAAAGGCAACTATATTTCAACCAATTACTTTCATTCCCGGTCTAAATGACATGGCTTTTAATTCATTGTTTATGAAACATAAGTCATTGTGAAATTGGTACTTAGGTGACAAGGGGTAAATTTTACGACACTTAAACAAAACGCAACAATCTTCACACACTTTAGACCTTGACCAAATACACTTATGACTAGTCAACTGCTAGTCATGAATAATCACAATCAAGAATACACACAGAGCATGCTACAATGTACCTGCAACTCTAGAAGATTACTAGTGACAACTTAGGCACTTAGAAGGACCCGTCAATCTAGGCATCCTCTGTGCTAGCAACAACTATAGTGAAAGTGTGTGAAATCATCATAATCAAGTAAACACCAAACAACAGATAATGATAACTAGTTAACTACAAGAACACAAACCCAGAATTCATACGATGACTAGTCAACCACCAAGAACACAAACCCAAAAAAAATTACAGAGATGCAAATTAGATATTGTTCACCCAGAAACCCACCATTGGGAAAAACTAGGGGTCATCAACTGACCATGCAATCCATTAAGTGGAAAAAGATTCTTACAAAGAAACACAAGCAAGCTCAAGAGAAATCTAGATCTATTTAGGAAGATGAGTTATATCTCCTTCGTGCAATCTTCTTCTCCAACTGAGCAAAACTTGAAGCTCAGTTTTTCATAGCAATGACAGCTCCTTCATCAGCTCTTTCATCCCATGGCACTAGCTTGCAAGCTCTAACTTAGACATAAACCAAAATTTGGATTCAAAGGAGAATGACCAATTGCTTCAAGAAACCATACTCTTGAAGAAATCAGTCTTGAATCTGACCTAGATATAAATGAGAGAGTGTTTTAAGTAGCTAGATGCAGATTAGTATTTCAAATGTAGTTTTTCACAAAAAATCAATTTGGAAAACTCATAAATGAAAATAAGATGGTTCTCTCTTGAGGAAGAAGAGAAAGATGACAAGTAAAACTTTCCAAAACTTCCACACCAAAGAGACTGCATCCAAAAGAGGAATTGTTTGGCCATTACATCCAAAAATTCCCTAGGTCAGAATCGACACATGGTAGTTGAGAGAGAAAGGAGAATAGGACAAAAAAAGTTGGTTATCCAGCTGGAAATCCTACAGAGTAAGGAGGACTAGTCATACGAGAAACAGACGACTAGTCATCATTTTATTAAATCAATTTAATGCAATGTGATGCAATGCACAATTTACCTTTGTCAATTTGCTTAAACCTCCATAGGATAGTTGTTAGTTAAGAACACATAGAGAAGCTATTCTAAATCTAAACTTGAGCTTGATAAAAATAATAAAAATCCTATTACAAAATTGTCAAGGGAAGCCAAAAGAAAATCACAAAATGCATACACTTACACATTGTTCACTGCGGCAAAAAGAAAATATTTTCTTGCAAATCAACAAGATATTGAGGAATTGTCCATACATAAAATTATAATTATTAATACGGGCCTTTTCCACATAAAAAGGAAATTCTTTGTTATAATAGAGATTGAGTCCATTAGGGATTTGATTGGGATCCAAATCTCCTAATTTGATGATGACTATATCTCCTTATTAGGATAATATCTAAATTAATGATATTATCTTATTAAATAAAGATAATATCCTATAATTAAGACATTATCCCAAATTAATTAATTGGCCAAATAAATTGGTTCAATTAATTATTTTAAGGCATAAGCCCCAAACCCATATTCTTCTTTTCCACGTGGCATGCTATGATTGGAGACGAAAATATTTGCTCCCACAACTTTGGCGTCTTATTGAACAAAAATAGTGATATTGTTCCTCCATTGATCAAGAATCTAGATTTTTGGGAAGTCTCATGATCATCCAATAAAAAGGGTTTCAATTTTTTGAAATGAATGATTTGAAAACATATTGATTCTAACAACTGATTGCAAAGTTGAACATTCGAACAGAAAATTTAGTTTCCTCCAATATTTTATTTTTTTCAATTATTTTAGGATGACATTAAGTTCGTTGAGACATATAACCTTTACAGCAAAGACCAATCTTTAAACTTGATTTGTCACTATCTTATAGACCAATTGTCACCAGAAACATATCTTTGGAGCAGAGATGTGTGCACAATAACATGTGAATAATCATGCCATTCACACTTACACAAATCTACACCAACACCATTATCATCCTCATGACATTTCCTACTTCCTTTTTTTTTTTTTTTTGGTTGAAAAGAAAAAAAAGAACTGTTTTAGATGAGGGAATCTTTGTTGTATAGTTGATCGTTGCTTCACAAATTTGACACCCCAATATCTTCTACTATATTTTTAAATTGAAAATTAATGGGAAGTTAAACTTTATTTTGCTCTCATGGCAGCAGAAATATCAAATTTCAGGGCCTCCTTGTCTTGCAACAATTTGCAAGCACAAGGCACCATGAAAAAACCCAATATGTTTTTGAAGGTAAGAGAAGCCACCAAAATAACTTCTATTTGCAAGTTCACCATTGAATTAAAGCTTGATGATGAAATAGGTCATATCTCTCTTCTTAATTGCACAATGGTATCCTCATAACTAGCAAGTAACTTCAATGCATTATCCTTCAGAAATGTCGATCCGGGGGGCAAAACAATTTCATCAATTGCCTTAAAACTTGCAGTCTTCATGTTGTGTAAATGCTCCCTCATATAGGCAGGGTGATGCCTGCTTAACCCTGAAGACTGGAAGAGGAGCTCACCTGTGTGAACAGGGTACCCTACCTCCCTCCAAAGGGAAAAGTGATGGTCTCCTTAAGCCACAGCTGGTTTTGGTAGTCCCTCAAAACCCACAGCCCCATCAGTTCCTCTCCCATAAACTGCTCGTCACCTACTAGAGCCAAACAACCATCCACTCCAATTATATAACTAACCAAATGCAGAAAACAATTATAATCTTTAGGGAGTGGGATTGCTCTGAATTTCTCTTCAACAATGTTAAAAACCAATATAACATTTTGTGTCGCATGCAACCAATGTATGACCCCATTAACGCACACACTTCGCAAATCAAACGGGCGCTTAAGAGGATCAGAAGGGAGATCATTAAGGTCTACCTCGATGTTCCTCCATGAACTTGTCCCCAATTTGAATATCTTGAACATAAAATGGTTACCCCTCAAGGTAGGGACAAACTTTTGCACTTGGAGAACCTTATACTCATATGTAAGAGGACTGAACCCGAAATGGTGTATAGAATGGGCTGTGTGGGAAGCTGGTGAAGCATGGGAAAGAGCGATAGACTCTCGGTGCAGGGGTTAAATAATCGAACGGGGTGGTCAGGATCAGTTTGATTGGGAACAAAGGTGTTATGAAGGTAAGACAGACCAAGCCGTTGATACTCTGCGTAAGGTAGAGCGTTCGTTCTTGGTTCGAGGCATTGGAAGGCTTAGAATGTGGGTGGAGGATGTTAGGCTTCCTTGTTGGTTGATTTGTAAGGTGAAGAAGTGTTGCTGCCTTGTGGATTTGTCCAAGGCAGAGAGGAGGAGGTGAGTGTGCTTGTTGCAGCCCAAGTTTTGATGGGCAGTGACAAAGGAAGGGTTGTGGGTGAGAGAGGACCAAGACTTGCATGAAGCGCATCAGAGACTTGGACGGTAGCCTTGAGAGAATCTCAAAGCATGTAATTTGGCTGGGGAGCTCTTGATCCGCAGCTGCTTCCATGTATTGATCTTAGGATAATATTATTATCCTTCCTTACAAGTTACAAGTCTAAAAGTTGATGGTTTTGTAGGGGCAGATGGTGGATGGGAAATCAAAAGTTCATAGTTTTTATCAGAAGGAAGCCAAGAGTAAGACAGATTGAGAATAAATCTGCTTTGTTTTAGTCGCTTGTTGAATTTGTTTAAAACTTTGAAGAGTAAAACAAGAAAACAAACATTTACACAGTGATTTTATTTTTATATTCCTCGTCAGTGTTACTATGCTTTTTTGCTTTGGCTCTTATCCAAAACAAGAGAAAAAATGAGCGACGAAGAAGTATTTTTCTATTATTCATCTATTATTCATCTATTTAACTTTTGTATCACCGTAATGGTTACTCTCTTTTTTTCCACAATCACTGCCCTACAGGCTACACCCTGCAAACCAACAAAGAAGTGAGATATGAAAATCGAACTCCAAACCACTAGCAAATAAGGCTCTGACACAGTTTTTTCAGGAATTTTAGAGCTATGATTTTGGAATTTTGGAATTTTTAATTTCAAAATACCAAAAACCTTTACAAAGAAAGGTATAACATAATGATGTTGACTTTTTTAACTCTAAATGTATGAAATTAGCCCATAATTGATGTAATTACTCTCTAGTTTGCAGTCTTCAGTAAAGCAGTGAATGAGAGAGAAATGAAGAAATAGAGCAAAAGGAGAGAGTAACATGACAAATAGTGAGAAGGTAAAACATCACCAAGTTCAGACTTCAAATTTTCTAGAAGATAACCAACCATTGAATTGAAGCTTAGAATTAGATGATGAAATTAGGCAATCTCTCATCTTAAGGGGACAATGCTATCACCACCACAGCCAACAAGCAATTTCAACCGAAGATGATCTGAAAGTCTCGACCGTGGTGAAACAATTTCACTTCTGAAACTTTTACTCTCCATGTTGTAATAGAACACTTTCACTTGGGCAGGATCCTGCCTAAGCAATCTTGAAGATTGCAAAAGTAGCTCACCAGTGTGAATCGTATACAAAGGGACAGGGTACCCTAAGTCCCCCCAATAAAAAGGAAAATTTATGGTCTCCTTAACCCAAACCTGGTTTTCGTAGTCCTTCAAAATCCATAACTCCATCATGTTCTGTTGCATCAGGTGCCTGTCTCCTATTAGAGCCAAACATCCATCCAGTTCAACTATGTCCCCAAGGGTATTGTTGATACCATGGATGCCATAGTTATAATCTTCAGGAAGTGGGATGGCTCTGAATCTCTCGTCTTCGAGATCGAAAACCGCTATAATGTTCTGCGTTGACGTGTGCATCCAATGTATGGCTCCATGAGCGCACACACTTCTCCTGTCAAACTGGCACTTGAGCAGATCAAAAGGGACATCATTAAGGTCTACCTCTATTCTCCTCCATGAACTTGTACCTAGTTTGAAAATCTTGAACATGATGCTCCTATCCTCTATAGAATTTAGAGGCTGAAACCTTTTCACTTGAAGAACCTTATACTCATTGGTAAGAGGACTGAACCCGAAGTGGTGTGTAAGGTGGATGGCGCTGTATGCAGGAGAATCATGAGGAAGAATTATAGACTCTCGGGTGCACGGGTTGAGTATTCGAACGGGATGGTTTTGGTCAGTTCGATTGGGAAACACTTTGTCAGAAAGGTAAAGACAGACTAACCCATTGACACTCAGTGCATTGTAGAGACGTTCACCATTCTTGGTTGGAGGTGTTGGAAGGTTTAGAAGGCGGATGACGAGCGTTGGACTTCCTTGTTTGATTTGTATGGAGAAGAAGGTCTGCTGCAGCATGGCTTCGTCCCAGGTGGTGAGGAGGACCTGAGTGTGGTTGTTCCGGTGGAAGTTTCGATGGGCATTGACAAAGGAAGGGCTGCGGTTGAGAGAGGACCAAGACTTGCAAACGCATTTGAAGCGCATAAGGGACTTGACCGGCAGCCTGGCAAGTATCTGAAAGCATATAACTTCGCTTGGGAGCTCTGAACCAGACTCCATGGATCTCTGCGACTTCCTTGGGATATTATTGGTATAAATCACAACTAGTTTTGTAGAGGCAGATGGAGAATAGAAAATGTAAGGGTCATTGTCTTATCTGAAGGCGGCCAAAATATGTCAAGGGTCTTTAATAATGGACAAAAGTTCCAAGTTTGAATTCATCGTCATATGTTGACTAAACTGCCTTTGGTTTTTTGGTTGACTTTAGAAAGACAACATGAACTTTCCATTTGTTTTCTAAGAAAAGAAAAATGGCCAACATGTCACCTAACCAATTAAAAATTTAAGGGCTGCTTCTAGATTTTGAAATTTTCTTATTATAATTGGGGTATTGGCCTATACTTCAAGAACAAAACATACATAAAGAAACAAGCAATGAAGTAGTGTGCAAACTTCTGTAAAATTTCTGTATACATTATTTAAGGAAACGTAAATGGCTATGTGCTTCCAGTGGGGTACTCAGTAAATGTACAAAAGTTATGTACTTCTGGTATCTTAATAACTAACAGTGTCAATGAGGACTTGTGCTACTGATTTGATTGGGGTGAATGACAATTCCATGAACTGGTCGTGACCGGCCTATCGAGTTTCTGCGTGAGGTTGCAGCAGAAGAAGGCATTGGTTCAACATTAGGAGGTATTGGAGTTTCAGGTGAGTGGCCAGATATGCAGAGGGCACCGGAATCATCTTGCTCCCAGTAAACTTCTACCATAATCCCTCTTGGATTCTCTGCAGATTCTGTACCTGGAATCCCCACAAACCTAGCTCCGACTGGTATCTGCATAATCATTGAGATACAATATGAGAAAAACAAGAAGACAAGAAATTACACGTGATTTTATAGCCATTACTTATGTATCTCGCTACAGAATGATATAAAGAGAGAAATTGAGCTTACCTCGACTGGGGCTCCGGATGTTAAAGTGAGAGTGACCAACCTCCCCTCAGCTGTGGCAGTTTCTAGCTCTGCCTGCCTTGCAATATTCAAGAAAACTTCCTCTAGAGTTGTAAGACCAAGTTGGATGTCTGATATACCGAATTCACTTTGTCTGTCTTGAAGCTCCGCAAAAAAATTCTGCAGAAGATTTACAAAATATATGAAAACACGTATACCATCTTGGCAATTACATGTGTCCTCCAAGCTACCGAAACGAAAAACATAAGTAAATTACACGATTTTACTATCGAATAATCAAATTTATTGGTTTCAACATAACATCTTCCTTCTCCTGCAAATAGAGTAACATGAGAGTTTTCAAATTCATTTTATTAGCCACAACCTACGAGAATTAGACATTGTGCCATCCTTCTTGTATCAAGTTTCAGTATAAAAACAACTGTAATTACCTTGAAAAGAAAAAATTGCTATAAAAGATATATACTAGAAAGTGAAATTATTACCTTCAAAAGCCCCTCTCTGTCATGAGGAATAACAAAAGTCAGAAAGGATTTGTTCTCTTCTTTTGGTAAAACATCCAAATGCTGTCAAAACATTTCCCATCTTAGAAATTAACCTTTGTATGCGTAAAAAATGTTTAAATCACTTTCGAAATTATCATACATGTTTAAAGAACTGCTTCACTGCCTCATGGTGAGGTGTAGCAACTGCATCACTGTTTGGAGGACTTTGTCCATTGGTGCTTCCAGTGAAGCTTACATTAGCAATAAAACCAGTCCCAAACCGTGACTTCAGCCTGATTGAAGTTCCAATGCAACGGAGCCTACCCTTTGCCATTATTCCAATCCTGTCACTTAAAATGTCAGCTTCTTCCATTGAGTGAGTGGTTAGGACAATTGCCCGCCCTTTTTTGGCATCCTCTATGATGTCCCATACATGTCTTCTAGTTATTGGATCCATACCAGTTGTCTGCAGATCATAAACTAAAACACATAAACAGAGCGTCTAGATTTACTCTCTCATTGGCATAGGCTGATTATTGGTCATTTAGTTCAACGGTTGATTTGTAGCTCAAATTAAGTTCTGATTATTAGGCATGTCGTTGAATTTGAGGCTTATTGTCTGATTAGCTTAATTCAAGGCTAATCTTCATAGCAGATTTATGTCTTGGTATCCCATATAAGCACCCATGTTATTCTTCATAAGTAATGCAACATAATGATCTTCCTCATATTTTAATAAATTATTTTAAAGGAAAAGTTTATAATTTCCATACCGGTTCATCCAAGATGACTAACTTTGGATCACCAATAAGGGCTATTGCAAAACTCAGGCGACGTTTCATTCCTCCACTGTAACTCCCAGCTCTCATTTTGGCTGCCTCAGTGAGCCTCACCTCTGCCAAGGACTTCTTAGCAACCTACATTTGAGAAGGAGCATTCATCTTATACATGAACAAACAGTTATTCTGCTAGCTTGAGCTCATAAAGCATGGGGACAAAAAAGAAAGATTATAATGCCCAGAGTTCAAACATTTGCAAAGTAGAAAGCATGCAATAGGAAGTTTTCTGCCCTATCATCGGTGGTATACAACCAGTGATAGGGAATAATTACTCCTTGAATAATTAGCATAGCACATACTGATTTGATTGAAGCTGGGGATAGGCCTTTAATACTAGCGAACAGGTGGAGGTGCTCTTGCCCAGACAATGCATCCCACAGAATGTCAAACTGTGAACATAGGCAACATATGGACAAGTTAACTCTAAATTTATCAATGAGTTGAAGCACCACGATGAAAACTACGTAACTTGCATACTCTTGAAGTACAGACATTCATATACATGCTCATATGTGTGTGTATGTGTGTAGGGAGGGAAAACAGATCACCTGCGGACAAACTCCAATCATTTTTCTAATTTTTGCCATGCCAACAGAGCTTCGGGCAGAATATCCATAAATCAATGCTGTTATCAAGACAGTTCACAATTTATCATATCCATAGTGATTTCATCAGGGAATTTTTTTATTCATGAACTCAAAAATAAAGATACTATTACCATCTCCACCAGTCACCGGTGTGATGCCAGTCAGACAATTAATTGCCGTGGTTTTCCCAGCTCCATTGGGTCCAAGTAAACAAAATAACTGATCCTTGGAAAAGTTCACCCATAAACCCTGTAGGTTGTTCAAAAGAAATCCATTGTTATTATTAATTAAAAACAAACCTGAACATATATGCTATGTCTGCATTATACTTTTTGTCTCAAGTGTTATAATATTAATGACAGCCGATGAAAATCATGAAATATCAATCAATTTAGCTTAGAGGGGTATTCCTCTAGGCCGCTAAGTGATTGAAGGAGAAATCCTTTTAATCTCTCAACTTTCACTGAGAACTAAAAGTCAGAAAAGGTTCTTTACCTTGAGGGCATGGTAAGGTGAAGTCCTCGTGCATCTACAGCAACCAATATTTGTGGTCCCAGGATATGTCTTTACAAGGCCACGTATCTGAACTGCAATGTTCGGATCAATTATGCCTTCCCTAGTTTGTTGTTTTACAATGTTCTCCTCTTCAAGGACATCTTCATCATCTGGAGTAAGTTGCTCCTGTGGTGGAACTGAACCTATGCAACTGCAAATGCCACCCTCTATGAAAAAGAGGAAAAAAAGCATTAAGTAAAATCCAACAAGGTAAACTCACACACAATCTGCATTCCAGTCTTATTTTTACCTTCTACTTTGTTTCCACCTTTCCCTATCCAGTACCCAGGCTTCAAAAAGTAAAACATTGATTTTCTCACACCAGATGCGTTTGGGATGATATTATCGAAGTAGATAGCCAATACAAACCAGAGGAAGAATGTGGCCACCAGCCATATATAAATGTCATTCTATAAAAGTTCAAATCAGAATATTATAATTACGTACTAATCAAAAGGACTAATAACCTATTGTAAATATTTTGAGTTTGAGGATCAATGTGTTACATACAATTGTTATAACACAGTCATCATCATTTGGTGCACACTTTGTTCTTCTACTCCAGCTAACCCCAATATCTTGAGGAGTGGATGTTGCACCAGCGAGTATCTGTAGAGCTATGGCAAGAAGATTAGGTGGGAATAATGACCAGAGGCTTCGAAAGGTTCTGGAGATGCTATCAGAATAGGGAAATCCAAATGCTGTAACAAGCTGCAATGACAAAATGGATTCTGTTAGTACCATTGAACCAACAATCCCTAATATATAAATCTTGTACTGAGGAATCTTGCCTGGGTCATAAAACCAACAATAAATATAGAGAAACCCACAGTTGTGGATGAAGATGACTTGCTTATGAAGGCCGACAACATAAAGGCAAAACCTAGCTGGCATGAAATGTTAGAGAGGACGGATCAGAGGTTATGAAATTATGATAAAACCAAGAGGCTTATTTAAAAACATAAATCATAAAGAATTAGAATGAATTAAAAAAAAGTAATTGCAAACTTGCAAGAAAAAGTCTTACCATATTGAGTTGGAAAAGAAAGAAGACAAGGAACAAGACCGCAAAATTGTTCTTTAGGAAAAAATCAAACTGAAACATCATTCCAAAAAGAACGATGAAAAGTGATGAGAATAGTGTAATGATTCCCTCCCATGTGAGCCATGAGAACCAGTATGCAGTGTCATAAAGACCCATCATTGTCATTGCCTGCTTGGCGAAACAAATAAAACACCAGATAATTAATTGATTCTGCAAAAGAACAGCAAGGCTAGTAATAGTAATAGCCGTTTAACTGGACAGTGTTATGCATTAACTTAAAGCAGCTTAAAGCCATCACCTGTCGAAGCTTTAGTTCTTTCTCTGTGATCAAAGAAGTCATTTGAAACACAAAACCAAACATGGCAGTTGCAAGAAAAAAGGTTGGTCCTACTGTATCCAATGCAGAGAAAAGCTCCATTGCAGGGTGTGCAAATTCCTTGAAAGCAACAACCCAGCTAAAATTTGGAACTGAACATATCATTATATGAGAGCTAAGGTCAGGGTGATAATCATGCAAGTAAACTTTCTGCACGTAACACAGGACTACAAGAAACAAAGCCTAATACCTCCAATCAGAGACCGAGCAATTTCACGCTCCGCAGCAATCTGAAGCGGAATTTGAAATTTGAAAGTGGGATCTTCATATT